TAGTTAAGACCTGTTATAATAATAGAATGCGTCCTCATTCTAACATAGTAGTAGAATTCAAACGAATGCTTACCATAATCTGTTATTTCAACAGCTTCGTCAGATATTTCATCAACGAACTCATAACTATATCACTATACTTGCTTTATTTCTATTGTTTTCAGATCTAGAACACCAACGAAGGTTTGAGATTCTGTTGTCCGTTCTATCATGATTTATATGGTCTATTTCTTTCAAATTGTTTGGATTTTCAATCCACTGTTCTGCAATAATTCTATGCTTTAAGTACATTTTGTTGTTTAAACTAAGCACAATATAACCATGATTATTTAAGCATTCACTCTTAATATGTTTGTTTTTCTTTCGACGAATAGTAAAAGGATATGTCGTACAAATCTCATAATCTTCATGATTTCTCAATGTTTCCCATTGAGTTTGTTCCCCACTAACGTTCTCATTGACGTCCTCAATATCTTCTTCCTCACTGAACTCGTCAATATTTTCACTAGCTCCTTCTGTAATGTTTTCATCGGCATTGTCATTGACTTCTTCTGTAATGTTAGATGTTGTTGTTTCGCTCATGTTCTTTCACTAATGTTAAAAAGTTATGTTGTACGAATTTTGAACAGAATTTAGAGCAGTTATGAAACAATGAAGTATTTTTACGCTATTGAAAGGAACTATGAGAGTGAAGACAGCAATGACAAAAGGAACTAATATCAAACCTAATGAAATCGCTCACGAGGACATAGAGCTTAACAAGTACTTTGTGGAGTATCTTATAAGTGAAGAGTATGTAAGACCTTACTTCATGTTTTGACAGCATGAATGAGGATGTTATTTCATGGTTAAAGAATATAAGCAATGTTTTCGGTAAGTACGTCATAGATGACAAAGGTCTTGTTTGTATTTTATGAGACAGCAATACGAACACAGGAACTAATGGATATTATGCACTCAACAGCAAAGAAAGGATTTAGTACTATTGGCATGAATGAACATTGCAGGAATGACATATACAACCTATGCTCACGAAAGCCTTACACAAAAGCAATACAAATGATAGAACATAAGTGTCTAAGGTCAGCAAATGAAATCATTACTGTCAGTGGTTATGAAAGAACTGTTAGCAAAGATGAGTGGAAACAGCTATTCATATTAAGGAAGGACGTTGCTGAACTAGTTAAACCTGTTGCACAAACATTGTTTCAGATAAGACCAGCAATGACTAAGAACCCTTTGACCTTACTCAATGAGACCATAGAGGTTGAAGATAATGACATGAAAGAACTAGGAATGAATGAGAGAAGTTGTGAAGGATGTTTGAGTCAAAACACATGGTTCTTCAGAGCTGTTAAGAAACTTAGTAAAGAACGACAGAAATATTTTATAGAGAAGTATTGCAAAGGATGTGTAAATGAATTGCTTGAAATAGAACTTAGAGACACTTTCACACTAAAGGACTTGAGAAGAAATAAGTACATGAGTGAAGAAGGTATTGACATAGCTAGTGTTATAAATGACTTAAGAAGATGTGTTGTCGTTATTGACGGAGCACGTATGACATATCTAGTGAAAGATTATGATGGAATACGAGACACAACAACACTTGTGTCAGTAGATAGCAAGGAATTCAATAAGCTCATGAAGAGTATTTATGTAGGACGTATTGAGGAGAAGGATGTGAACGCACTGATGATTTATGAAGCGGGTCAGAACAAGAACTATCTTATGAAGTCAGGCATGAGATTCTTTGACGAAAGAGATGACATTTACAGCTATTTCAGAGGATATGAGTATGAGGTACTGAATGAAGTAGTGAAGCATTATTGAAGGATATTTGAAACATGTTCACGATGTCATATGTAATGAGGATGAAGAACTTTATGAGTATGTTTTGAACTGGTTCGCCTACATCGTTCAAAATCCTTGTGGAAAGACTGGAACAGTACTTTTGTTAATAGGAAAGCAAGGAACTGGTAAGAATGTACTTAGTAATGTTCTATGCGAGCTCATTAGCAAGTACGCCAACAATAATATAACGGCAATAGAGAATGTGGTTGGTAGATTCAATGCTGCTATTGAGAACATGAAGCTCATCGTATGCAATGAACTAAGCTCATGCGATACGTCTAAGGTCATGAACCACGACGCACTAAAGTCAATAGTAACAGAGACTCAGTTGGACTTAAATCAGAAGTGTCAGCCAGTAAGAAAGATAGAGAATGTTTGTAATATCATCATGATATCTAACAACTTCAACTCAGTAAAGATTGATAAAGACGACAGAAGATTTGTTGTCATTGACGTAAGCAGCAGATACAAAGGAAATTACGAATATTTCTCAAATCTCATTGAAAGCTTTAATGAAGAGTTTTATTCAAACTTACTGACGTACTTCATGAAGAAAGATTTAAGTGAATTTGATGTAAGGAAGATACCATTCACCAGGGCTAAACAAGAACTCATCGAAATGAACAAAACACCTTACCAAATGTTTTACGAGGAGTTCTATGAAAAGTTTGTATCCGGATGGAATTGTACAGAGTGCTACAGAAGATATAAAGAATTTGCGAAGGAGAATGAATTCTTTGCATGTAGTTCAAATGTATTTGGCGGTAAGATGAGAGAATTTGTGAAGAGAAGTAGAAAGCGAGACGGTTCTGCAAGAAGTTATATTTACGAAGCAAGTATGATATTAGAAGGTCGTGGAAAGAAAGAAACAGTGAATTATGAGGAAGTGCTTGAAAAATTCATGGAGTACATGGGAAGCAATATAACATACAACAAAGACATATACAGTGAGTTTAAGTACTACTGTGAACAGCATGAGATTGAAGTAATGAGTAAAGGAGACTTTGAAACGCTTATGAAAGACAGTAAGGAGGTCATACATGAATGCAATGATGAAATAGTTCACGAGAACAGTGAGGAGGTCATACATGAGAACAGTGATGAAATAGTTCATGCAATAAGGAGGTCATACATGAGAACAGTGATGAAATAGTTCATGATGTCGTTCGTGAAGAAGCCATTGCAACAAAGAATGATATAAAGGATTTCATAGAACTTAACAAGGAGGAGTTTAAAGAAGGCTATGAAGTGAAAAGATGTGAAGAAGATTTCTTGGCGTATTTGAAGAAAAAGAGACTAAAGCCAATGGCTCAAAATAAGTTTCAATCGATGTTTGAAAAGAAACGTTTGAGCTATGGTGGTGTAAGAAGCACATATTACTTTGTTAAGAAGTGAGGACATTTATTTTTGTCGTTAGTGTTGGAGTTTGTGTTTGTTGTTAGTGAGAGAATAAATTAAATCATGAACTTTGCCATGGTCTCTGTCCCTAGTAGTTTTCATTAAGTTCTGGAAATAATGAAAGTCATAAACTTTGCCATGGTCTCTGTCCCTAGTAGTTTTCATTATCTCACAGAGTTAATGAAAGTCATACTTTCTATCAGATGAAGCATGCAGATGAACATAATGAAAGTTAGTGAGTTTGCCACGAGTTATGAATAAAATATTGGAATATTAGATGAGATAGCTGATGAAACAGATGAAGATAAATTAAATCTTGGACTTTGCCACACTCTGTCCCTAGTTCATCAAAATCCTTGACAACGTTGCTTAGAAATTTTGGTTCAAAACCTCATCTGATTTTAATCTGTTATGCTACCTGTTAAGTTTCGCGAGATTATAAATGTCATGGAGTTATATAAAAAGGAGGGACAGCTAGGGACACTGGAAGTACTTGTAAGGCTATTTGTTAAGATTGCATGAAATACTAAAAGTCATGAAATCCATTATCGCTGTGCTATCTTCACCTTAGAGTAAAATGACGACTAAAGTCACTGAAGCAATGAAACAAAAGTTTTTGGTAGAATACATTAAATCAGGAACTATTCCAGAAGGTTTTACATTCATACTATGAAGGATGGTAGAGTTCAGTTTAGAAAGATAAAGCAACCATTAGATAAAGAAGGAATTTTGAGAAAGATTAAACTTCATGAGGACAACATTGCTGAACTTAAGAAGAAGTTAGAAGAGTTGGAGAAAGGAAGAGAGTTATAAAGCAATGAATTCAACAGGGTGAAAAAACAGGTGAAAAAAGAGGTGAGATCTCACCACTTCACCTAAATTTAAATGGATGTTTTCATACGTGTGAGGGTGGTGATATCATTTATTTTTATGTAAATGACAGAACAAAAATAAAACATATCTACTCAGCAGGAATGAGACCCTTACTGACTATGTATTCGTTTAATGCTTGATGAAAACAATGGTACATATTATCGTATGGGTATACACAACGTCTGTTTCCATCGTCGTCGTATATGTAGAGCTCAAATCCAGTCCAACCTTCTTTTGTACAATATGTAGCTTTATTTAAGTATGCATTTATGTAGATAAGGCAATTTTCTTCATCGCTCCAGAAATAATTTTTGTTCTTTGTTGAAATAGTTTTCGTTCCTCTGCGACCATAAGGAATGTATGCAATGAACTTTGCGTCATATGGGATTGTAATATATTCAGGGTTTCTTTCATCGTCAATGGGTCTGTCTTTGTTAAAATGCATGTTTCTCAGTTTTACTTGAGTTTTGAATAGTTCACGGAAACGTTCTGGGAAAGAGTCATAGTAAATGTAGTCGGACATGTCTTTGTAATGAAATAAAAAAGTTGGAAAATAAATAAAATAAGGTTATTTTTTATTTAGTGAGGATGGTAGTGAATTCGTTAGTGAATTCGTTAGTGAGTTCGTTAGTGAAGTCGTTAGTGAAGTCATTAGTGAAGTCGTTAGTGAAGTCATTAGTGAGTTCGTTAGTGAAGTCGTTAGTGAAGTCATTAGTGAAGTCATTTATGTGTCAGATGGTTTTGTAAATATTTAAGGTTAAGTTGGTGTTATGGTTGTGTTGTAAAATATACGTTACTGGTTTCGTAAAGTGTCAAAACCGCTAAGTGGTGTACGGAGGCGCGCAGTGCCACAGTACCCAACTAACCCATACTAACTATGGACTCTGTGTTAATAAAATATTTACTGTTTCAAATTCTGGATCTATCATTATTGATTCCACTAATGGAAAGTCTACCTTATTTATGTCCACGTCTTCTGGTTGAGGATCACAATAATAGAAATCAATATTAACATTTAACATTCTCGCTAATCTCTCACTTTCTGATGAAATGTCAAACCCTTCATATGCATCTATTGCTTCATTTAAATAGCTTCTACGAGTTTTAGGATTAACACCATCAGGAATGTTATAGAAGCGTTTAAATAACCTTCTACCTTCTGCTCTAATTTGATTATCATTCATTTTAGCTGTTCCGTTTTTGTTCATTTATGTAAGAAAAAATATCAAAAAACAAATAAAAATAAAGATTATTTATTAAAGCCCATAAAATGAATTAAGAATACATAAATTTTTATCATCTGCGACGTGACGAATACATTTTAATTTACTCAAGAATGCGTACCCTGATACATTAAATCTAATTCCTGTCTTATTTAATTTCACAACTTTGAAAAGGAATGTATGAATAGCTATAAAATGATGAGAAGATGTTTTATGGGTTGCTTCCATTTTTTCTGAAATAAATGAATAAATATAATGCTTATAAGTTTTCATATCTTTTATGTTCTTAATAACGAATGGTATAGACCTTTCAACTTCGTCTTCCTTCGGTGCTGTTCTTTCATATGAAACATTATTGGTATCTTCAATAATGAAACCACAATCACACAAAATTTTATAGGTTCCAATGGTTTCTTTTGATATTTTATCTAATAAATCAAAAACTTTATCAACACCTGTGCATTTATTTAAATAATAATTTGTGTAAATATTAGTTGCATATGTCACGTTTTTAAGAGCTTTTTTGAATTTTTCGGAATCTAAAGGTGGTGAAAGTAGGATACAAGGGTATTCCTCATTATCAATAAATTGTAACTTATGTTTACGTATAAATTTAGTTCCTTCTTCTGAAAGTGTTTCATCTATTTCTCCATCTAATAAATTTTGTGTTGATTCTAAGACATAATTTTTATATCTTTCTTCATGAGATTTCTGAACTGCTGATTCTGAAGCTGGGATATTCATTAAACCCTCTACTTCATTTTCATTATATTTTTCAACTTCTCTTAATTCCTTAATTTTTTCATCTATTTCATCTCTTATTTTTTTCAGTCTTTCAATTTCAATTTCATCATATTCATCATCTTTAATTCGTTCTTCATAATATTCAGGGAAAACATCAGGTTCTTTTGGTTTGTTTTCTTTAGAAGTGGGATATAAGAAATTTATAACATCATCTTTATTCATTTTTCCATCATAATCAAATTCATTTAAGAACTCGGCAAATTTTTGACAATTTCTTAAATAATATTTATCAACCTCATAACCCGCCTCCTCTAATATATCCATTATTTCCCCATTTGTGAATCTCATTTTTTTAACATCGTTAGTTGTGACACTCATTTCAAACGAATTAAAAATAAATTATTCAAAATTGTAAGACATGAATTTTTAAAGTTTATTTTTCATTCAAATAATCATTAGTTTCAATTTATTTTTCCCGTTTATGAGGTCTTTGATTATGACTCCATTGAAGTTTAACCCATTCAGGATTTAAATGATGTTTAATTAATCGCGGAATATCTGACATCATCTATATATAGCTTCTTTTATAAAAGATAAAAAAATAAATTATTTTAAAATTAATGTTAATTTTTTAATGATTTATAAATAAATATATTTTAATGCATCGTCTATATATAGATGATACAAAATCGTTCAATATTGTATGATATTCTTACGTTTACAAAGATGATACAAAATCGTTCAATATTGTATGATATTCTTACGTTTACAAAGATGATACAAAATCGTTCAATATTGTATGATATTCTTACGTTTACAAAGATGATACAAAATCGTTCAATATTGTATGATATTCTTACGTTTACAAAGATGATACAAAATCGTTCAATATTGTATGATATTCTTACGTTTACAAAGATGATACAAAATCGTTCAATATTGTATGATATTCTTACGTTTACAAAGATGATACAAAATCGTTCAATATTGTATGATATTCTTACGTTTACAAAGATGATACAAAATCGTTCAATATTGTATGATATTCTTACGTTTACAAAAAAAGTCACACAACCCGTCATCATATACTACTAAGGATAAACCTCAAAATTTACGAATATAATGAGTGGGAATATAATGCTTATCTATCATAAAACCATATGAAATATTAATTTTTGCTTTACGCCTAATTTTTGACGACAATTAGCAAAAAATGTTAAATGTTAACACTCAGTCCATTTGAATATGAAAAATAAAATTGACTTTGATTAAATGTTTTTATTTATCATGCAATTCTTCTTGCGACCAAAGATTTGAATAAAATTTCAAAAAATAAGATAGCTTAAAAAATAATATACGGTAGTGTTTACTAATAGATGAATAGTATATAAATTCTATTAAAATGGATTTGATCCAAAAAAATATAAAACCAAAAATAATTGTTATAATTTAAATGAAGAAGTAATTTAAAACGATTTTATTTATGATCAAATTTTATATATTTTTTGGATCAAATCCATTTTAATAGAATTTATATACTATTCATCTATTAGTAAACACTACCGTATATTATTTTTTAAGCTATCTTATTTTTTGAAATTTTATTCAAATCTTTGGTCGCAAGAAGAATTGCATGATAAATAAAAACATTTAATCAAAGTCAATTTTATTTTTCATATTCAAATGGACTGAGTGTTAACATTTAACATTTTTTGCTAATTGTCGTCAAAAATTAGGCGTAAAGCAAAAATTAATATTTCATATGGTTTTATGATAGATAAGCATTATATTCCCACTCATTATATTCGTAAATTTTGAGGTTTATCCTTCGCTTTTAAGATCATTGAATTTGATTTTTATATAAAATAGTTATATATTAGAAAATAATATGAGTTTATGTGATATTATTTTTCAGAAGATTTCATTCTATATGCCTATGAAAAGTACTCTCAAAACTAACTTTTTCCTAACTATAATAAAATCTAGAATATTGTATTATGCTTAGTATTATTTCATTTTTCTCATTCAATTTAGAATTTACAAATGTCAAAAAATTGAGAGCTGTCACTTTTGATGAATTTCTGTTTATTACAATAGCTTTTGTAAATCAAAAAACAACCCTCTGACAAATATATTTCTAGAATTAGTTTGTGAACGCTAATTTTAATCACTACATACTCTAATTTGCAACTTTCTATTACTAATATACTATTCTAAATTTGAACGAAAAAGATTGTTTAAGGAATTCTGAAATCATCATTGAGGTATTTGATTCTTCTCAAAAGTTCATATAATCACAATTTTTTAAAAAGTGACTTAATCGGATTACAACAATCCAACCATCATCATATATTATTATACATTTCATCAATAGGAAATCGAAATAAATTGAAAAATATATAATTCAATACTTTACATAAAGGTAATTTTTTTGTTTTGTTTTCTTAATGATAATCAAATTTATGAATAATAAAATATTTGACAAGAATTCCTTCAAATTCTAAATCATAAAATTTTCATCATTAGATAAAGAGCTTATTATTCTTATATTCAGATTCTAGTTTTTCAAAAATTGAGAGTAAATACGATATAAAGTTTATCCATAAGTATAATCTCCTTTTCAGCGACATTTACAATTTAACTGATTAATAATTTCTGTTGACTCAAATCAAATTTTTTTTAACTTCTACAATGTTCTCAAGTTTGTTTTTGATCTGCAATTGGGGACCTCCAAATGTGGATTCTAACGAACTCTTAAGCAAGATACTAGAGTTAGAAAATAAACCATCATTTATTGAAGGCATGAACGATAATTTTAGTGATTTTGAAAGCCACTTCAACGTTGATAAGTCAGTCACAGGAACAGAAAGTACGCTAAGAGAATACTCGTTTTTCAAATGTTCAATTACCATTTCAGGTACTACTACATTTTCAAGCAACTATGCGTTTGGCGCTTCTACAGCATCTGGATCTGGCGGTGCTCTTCACTTGTGCCAATCAGTAATTACCATTTCAACATATAAAGGAACGGATCAAATTAAATTCATAAAAAATCAAGCTGCCGTTGGCGGAGCTATATGCTTAGTTTCATCAGCAGGCCTAATTTACTCTTCTACTTTTGAAGATAACAACGCTTATAAATACGGCGGAGCAATTTATTTCCAAGGCTGCTTCCAGAAGTCAGGTTCCAGTGATTATGTAATAGCTCCACAAGTTACATTGATAGGCTCTGGTGTTACATTTTTAAAAAATACTGCAGGTGAACTTGGAGGTGCCCTAACAATTTCATTTGCAGCCAGTGTTTTCTTTGAAGACACTACGTTTAACAATAACAAATGTTCCTTTGCTGGTGGTGCAATATCGTCAGGTAATTGCGATGACCTAAGGCTGTTCAAATGCAAATTCCACCATAATATTGTAGATGCTGTCCAATTCAAACCTATGTTCAATTTCACTAGGTATCATATGGCTGTTAGAAATACTGATATAAATAAAAAAATACCAACTCGCTTCAAAGGAAGAGGTGGTGGTGCTATCAGTTTCACTTCCGATGCAAAGAAAGGAGGTCTCGCACCAGTTTACCAAAAGAGACTCCTTAACACACGCTACTGCTGTCTATACCAAGACACAGCAACATCCACAGGCCAAACATTCGGAAACGGTGCTGCCCATGAACTTCTCTTAGAAGGATATACCCAGTGGATTTCTGATGGTGACTTTGTATCTGGATTTAATAATGAAGATCCAGCTTACAAGGAAAAGTCACAATACGTTTCATTTGCTGGCAGAGAAATAGATTTCAATGTCACAGGTTATCAAGTTTATAATTTCAGAGGAGGAACATCTATCGCTGAAGATATTTGCAGTGGCATTTCTTCCTCTTCAGTTAATATATCTAATGAAAGTACAATTGAATATGCCAGGACAAGTAATAAGGGTGATGATTTAATTACCGGCTATGTTCCATCACCATCTAACTACACCTATGTTGCTACACCAATTACAAGAATACCTAAAGCAACAACTAAAAATCCGAGTAAAAAGACAACAGCCAGAACAGCTATTACTGATGGACAAGGAACCAAAGATATTCCTACATTATTAACAGCATATACAGTACTTCCAGGTATGAAATCATTCACAGTTTACTCACCTCTGCCAATCCGTACAATGTACTCAACACCACATTCAACTCCACACTCTACAGCTCATTCAACTCCACATTCCACAGCTCATTCAACTCCACATTCCACAGCTCATTCAACTCCACATTCCACAGCTCATTCTACTCCACATTCCACAGCTCATTCTACTCCACATTCCACAGCTCATTCAACTCCACACTCTACAGCTCATTCTACTCCACATTCAACACCATTCAAGACTGCACACGTTACTCCATGTGATACAAAGTTCATCACTCCTTTCCAGACTCCACATTCCACAGGCCATTCTACTCCACATTCCACACCACACTCAACTCCACACTCCACAGCTCATTCCACACCACATTCTACACCATTCACCACAGCATTCGCTACAGCCCACAACACTCCATTCGATACACCACAGAGAACTCGTCCACCAACACCTGCCTCAATTGTCACTCCACGTTCTGGCAAGACATATTCATCAACAGAGACAGTCATCGTTTCTTACACATCTACTGTTACAACTCTTAAGTCTGGTGATGAATACTTCGATGGTTCTACATATGTTGTTGTTTCAACAGAAGGCGAATACACTGTTTACTCTGTTACATCAGTTACAACAGTTGTTTTGTATGGAGAAACAGATGTCATTGTCTCAGAAGAGACAAAGAAGAAGAACAATAACGTGTGGCTCTACGTAGGTATCGGTATTGGTGCATTCGTGTTCTTACTTGTCCTTGCCCTCATCATCTTCTTCGTCTTGGCCAAGAAGAAAGACAGCGACTCTGAAACATCTGCCGTCGAAATGGCTGAAGAAACAGTCATGCAGGTACCTGACAGCACTTCCGCACCAATCACCAATGATAACCCATTGTGGACTACATCTGTTATGGGAGACACAGATGATCCATTCAAGAACGATTTCGAAGAAGATCTTGCACAAGGATTCTTCGGTCTCGCAAACAGAGATTACGAGTAATCGAAATTTTATTTACATCGCTGAGATTAAACTTTACGATTTATTTTGGCGTGAAACTTCTAATAATTTTTTAATTGTTTTTTTTATCGGAATATTTTGCGATATTAATTATCAATTTATAATATATGATATTAATAGTTACTATTTCTGTTACCGAACAGTTGATTCTTCGATTTGAATCAGAAAAATCTGAATTGCGATTCGTTATCCATCAAACAATAGCTATTTCAAAAGCAAATAATGAAATAGTATTGCAAGTCATTACTAAATAGATTTATTTGAGTCAAATCGAAAGGGTAATTAATTTTCACAGATGTGTAATCTGCTCAGTTTTAAATTTTAAGAATGGTTGGCGCATTTACAGTAGATGGTTATCAATATTTCAATAAATAATAATAGAAATAACCCAAATTTATTTCATCATTTATAAACTTTTTGATCTTAGTGCTTTTATGATTCCACAATGAAATGTTTGCTTGATGAAGAAGCCAATCATATATGTTAAATCTCAATATATCTCAGTGAACAATAATAATCTGGAAAAATCTCACAATTCATTTTCAGTAAAGATCCAAATGCATAAACCCTAGCTGTTTACAACATGAAAACTGTCTTTTTAATTTGATTAATTCATTTTGCATTTATTAAATAGAAATGAGGTTAAATATAATTCGTTTCATCTCAGATAATGAAAAAGATGCTTAAGGTGTAATAAACAGAAATTCATCAAAAGTGACAGCTCTCAATTTTTTGACATTTGTAAATTCTAAATTGAATGAGAAAAATGAAATAATACTAAGCATAATACAATATTCTAGATTTAATTATAATTAGGAAAAAGTTAGTTTTGAGAGTACTTTTCATAGGCATATAGAATGAAATCTTCTGAAAAATAATATCACATAAACTCATATTATTTTCTAATATATAACTATTTTATATAAAAATCAAATTCAATGATCTTAAAAGCGAAGGATAAACCTCAAAATTTACGAATATAATGAGTGGGAATATAATGCTTATCTATCATAAAACCATATGAAATATCAATTTTATTTTTCATATTCAAATGGACTCAGTGTTAACATTTAACATTTTTTGCTAATTGTCGTCAAAAATTAGGCGTAAAGCAAAAATTGATATTTCATATGGTTTTATGATAGATAAGCATTATATTCCCACTCATTATATTCGTAAATTTTGAGGTTTATCCTTCGCTTTTAAGATCATTGAATTTGATTTTTATATAAAATAGTTATATATTAGAAAATAATATGAGTTTATGTGATATTATTTTTCAGAAGATTTTGTGTTCTTCTTCAAAATTTTATTTTTTTATTAAAAAGAATCTTTGCAAAATATACATTTACTTTAATTAATATTTAAAAACGTGCTCTATCAAAAGTTCCAAAAATTCAATATTTTAGCTTTTCTGAGGTGTCACTTTTGATGAATTTCTGTTTACAACAAGGGTGCACCCGTATGTACGTTTATTTGAGAGGAGGAGGATTACCCTCTCAATTTTGAGGGATTCGTTAGTTTATTTTCTCGATGAATATGCAATAAAATTTGATTTTTACCTTATCAATATACTTCATATAATATACACATGTTCATGTAAAAACTTTTTTCCAAAATCCTCAGGAATTAAGGGATTTTTGAATTTTAAAATTTTTTTCGAATTTTTTCGAAAAAAAAATATTTTCAGAACAGCCTTAACGGCTAAGATTTAGGAACAATGTTAAGTATCAAAAAGAAAGGAGGTCTGATATAGATAGGGCTGTACAAGATTTAAAAAAACATTGCCGGGGTACCGTAGAGGCCTAAAAAAATCGCGCCTCGGCGGCAAGCCGCCTCGGCATTAAGAATGCGCATCTAAATTTTTATATGTCCTTCTTTCTTTTATTTTTCCCTTCCCTTCCTTTTCTTTTTCTTTTTTTCCCTCCTCTTGCTCTCATTTACCTTTTTTTTCCTTTTCTCATCATTTTTCAAAATTAAAATTTTATCAAAAATCTTGCCTATAAAAGCAGATTATGGAACCTTTTAATGCCTCTTAATCAATATTATACAGCATAAAGCATATTAAATGAAAGTAATTACGTATAAATTTATTTTATTATCTTATTTATTAATTCTTTAGCATGTATTGTTTAATATTAACTTTTCTGTACATTAAATATGATATCTCCAAAGTATGAATGCCTTGTAACGAAAAAACTTAATTTTATGTTGAATATTTGTCACAAACATTAGATTATTAAAATATATGTTGGATATCCCTTAGTATGAGACTTCATGACTCTTGTTGTCTAACGTGAGCTTTGGATTGAAAGTTTGCTACAGCACATAAGTATTCTGTGGTTAAAAAACCACATGAGCTTTAAAAACTATAAAATCAAAAATAATTGTTATAATTAATGAAGAAGTAATTTAAAACGATTTTATTTATATCAAATTTTATATATTTTTTGGATCAAATCCATTTTAATAGAATTTATATACTATTCATCTATTAGTAAACACTACGTATATTATTTTTAAGCTATCTTATTTTTTTGAAATTTATTCAAATCTTTGTCGCAAGAAGAATTGCATGATAAATAAAAACATTTAATCAAAGTCAATTTTATTTTTCATATTCAAATGGACTGAGGTTAACATTTAACATTTTTTCTAATTGTCGTCAAAAATTAGGCGTAAAGCAAAAATTGATATTTCATATGGTTTTATGATAGATAAGCATTATATTTTTAAACAGAAATTCATCAAAAAGTGACACCTCAGAAAAGCTAAAATATTGAATTTTTGGAACTTTTGATAGAGCACGTTTTTAAATATTAATTAAAGTAAATGTATATTTTGTAAAGATTTTTTTAATAAAAAATAAAATTTTGAAGAAGAACACAAAATCTTCTGAAAATAATATCACATAAACTCATATTATTTTCTAATATATAACTATTTTAATATAAAAATCAAATTCAATGATCTTAAAGCGAAGGATAAACCTCAAAATTTACGAATATAATGAGTGGGAATATAATGCTTATCTATCATAAAACCATATGAAATATCAATTTTTGCTTTACGCCTAATTTTTGACGACAATTAGCAAAAAATGTTAAATGTTAACACTGAGTCCATTTGAATATGAAAAATAAAATTGATATTTCATATGGTTTTATGATAGATAAGCATTATATTCCCACTCATTATATTCGTAAATTTTGAGGTTTATCCTTCGCTTTTAAGATCATTGAATTTGATTTTTATAAAAATAGTTATATATTAGAAAATAATATGAGTTTATGTGATATTATTTTTCAGAAGATTTCATTCTATATGCCTATGAAAAGTACTCTCAAAACTAACTTTTTCCTAATTATAATTAAATCTAGAATATTATATTATGCTTAGTATTATTTCATTTTTCTCATTCAATTTAGAATTTACAAATGTTAAAAAATTGAGAGCTGTCACTTTTGATGAATTTCTGTTTATTACAATATTCCCACTCATTATATTCGTAAATTTTGAGGTTTATCCTTCGCTTTTAAGATCATTGAATTTGATTTTTATATAAAATAGTTATATATTAGAAAATAATATGAGTTTATGTGATATTATTTTTCAGAAGATTTCATTCTATATGCCTATGAAAAGTACTCTCAAAACTAACTTTTCCCTAATTATAATTAAATCTAGAATATTGTATTATGCTTAGTATTATTTCATTTTTCTCATTCAATTTAGAATTTACAAATGTCAAAAAATTGAGAGCTGTCACTTTTGATGAATTTCTGTTTATTACAGCATTGTTATTAATAATGAAAAATAAAGCTTATTTCAATGAAAATTGTTCTGCAAATTTATTTCACTTTTGACCTCACTTTTCCGTAATTCAATTTTTTACTTTTAATATTTTAGATCTTCATAATATCATTTGAAAAATTAACCATATAAAAAAATCAAGTTATCAATTCACTTTTTCCGTAATTCAAAAATCAAACATATAAATAATATATCTTTTTATCAAATATTATTATTATAATCTATGAAAAATGAGGTCCGGAAATTTTGCGGATTCCCGTAACTCAATTTTACGGAAAAAGTGCAGTAAACTATTCAAAATACGGAAAAATTGGTGTAAACTAATGATTTTACGGTAAAATCACGGAAAGTCCCGGAAGAATATATGTGCCTATATGAAATTATACAAAAATGAATCAAACACATTTTAAAAGATTGTTCTTGTATTATAAATGCTATTCGCAGATTTATTAGTTGAAGAAAATTACCAAATTTTTGCCGATTTACAAAAAATGATTTACAAAGCATATTTTTATAAGGCTTTAAAAATCTTTAAAATGTGACCGGTGACGGAAATCCATGGTAACCAACCGCGGTTCCCGTTTGGAATGCCATAGATATAGACAACATATATCGTTGAAGGTTGAAAAAATCTCTAATATTTGAGCCCAAAATTTCAAATTTTAATTTTTTGAAAAAAGAGGCCACCCGTATGTACGTTTATTTGCGAGGAGGAGGATTATATTTTTGAAAGGGTGAAACATTATGAATATGTTAATTATATAATAATATGTATTATTATAAAAAAGAAAAAATAAAGCACGTTAAAATTTTTCTTTCTTGATTTTTTACAAAATCTACTTAGAATTATGCAAAATATGACTAAATAATTATAAATTTCAAGTTAAATTTTAATTTTGATAAATAATTTAAATTTCAAAATACCAAGTTCAGTTCGACTATGTATGTAGTAATTCCTCAATAAAGTGCCAAAACCCTATTAAAATATATGAACATTTTCAACATTTTAATGTTTTTATTTAAAAATTTGATGGAATATGAGCTTCAAACAATTATTATGTAAATAAAAATAATTAAATATATGTATTTATTCGTATTACAACCGTAGTAAGTCGATTCTTCCTTTCTTCTACTGAGATTTGAATTTGATTTAGAATTGTAAAGAAATTCAAAGGGAAAATACTAGCGGATAAAAACTACCTCCATGAAAGAGTCATAATGGAGTCAAGTTGTATTTTTTGATATTTTTTGCTTTTCGAGCCTAAATAGGTAGCCAAGATAATGCCTAAAAATAAGGTTCTAAATTCTGAAGTTTACATGATCCTCTCGTGTGCACCCTTAATTGACATTGATTCATTTTTCAGACAAATGGATGATAATGATCAATCGGAGTTCATTCCTTTTCAATCCAGAAAAACTCATTGGGGATCAAAAGATCATCGTCCTGTAGTCCAAAATGTTGCAACTATCCTTCCACCAGGACTTCCTCCACAAATTTTAAAAACATTATTATTAAGAATCCAATTAGAAGATGCACAGTACAATTTATCACATATAAATACAGAAAAAGAGTATATAAATTGGCTTGAAAACTCTATCGACTATTCTTCATGGAATGGCGAATCAGAAAATGCTATTATCTCAAAAGCAAAGGAGAATTGCCTCAAGGAAATAAATGAAATTAACAAGGAAATGGAGTCGTTGTATCCTAGCATTTTACCAGTTTCTAAATAGTTATTGAACAATTTCCAATGCGAAAAATCCAATCTCTATAAAAGAAAATCATTGACTGTACAAAACAGTTGCTAATTCATTTAGCTAAACATGAAATTCGGATAAAATTTATAGAAATAATGCATTAAATAACAGCAACTATATTCAGAAATAGTATAGTATCAATTCAAATTCTTAAATTAGAAGAAGCAACCAAGTACACATGAAAATTTTCAAATTTTTGATATCAAATTCACTATTACAGGTTATTTCTTAATAGATTTAATAATTTTGACACATATTATAAATAAAAATTTTATTAGTTATAGTATAAAATTCTATTTCCAATATACCCCATAATTGATATCTTTACGAAGATTACTTGAGGACTCTAGTGGAAAAATTATCCTCTTCTCTTCAGCATAAGTCTAAGATTCTTGGGAAGTAGAATTCCTATAGATTAATTCTTTTTACTAATATATATAAATCATTATAGAAATTAGATCTTAGGATGTCGCATGGGAGACATTGGGGATCTGAATCCACCAAACAAAGCTCCTCAATTTTCGTCCCTTAGCATCCTACACTTGAGAGACGAATTTATATCGCTTATTGAGTCAAAGAAATACAGACAAATTATTATACAACATCTCTTCCTGAGTGTGCTATGAACAATATCTGATTGTTTCGATAAAACTTTTTATTTCAGAATTCATTTTTTCTAAGCCCATAAAAAGTGTCCATATTAAAAAAATGTCTGAGATTCAAGGTAAATATTATGAGCTCATGGAGTTATTCAAAGATTATGACGATGCATTCAAATCATTATACAAGTTAAAGACAAACAAGGAATATGAAATTAACGAAATTTACCTAAAAATTAAAGCAATTTTAATCGAATCCAATCTTTTTTCACCAAAACAGATATTAGAGAAAATTTGTTTGATGATTAGATACAATAATCGTTATTGTTCTTCTTATATAATGATAATGAAAAAGATATTTGCTGATTATCAACAATTAAAGCTTCATAATGATTCCCCAGTATATAATCTGCTTGATAAGGAAAATTTAACCCCGCATTTCAATGAAAACTATCAAATTCTGTTTTTACAAGATTCAATTTTCAAACAGATAATTGATGATAATATAAATTCATTTATTCAGTTCACAGAAAAGGATGGCTTTGATCATTCTCTATTTTCAGAAACAGCACTATTTCCAGATGAATTAACACATTATTCACTGCTTGAATTATGTTGTTATTATGGATCTGTTAATTGTTTTAAAATTTTGAGATCGAAATTCAATACAGAAATTACTCCAAAATGTCTTCAACTTTCATTCTTAAGTGGTGTTCCAGACATCATGAATGAATGCTTGAAATACCAACAACCAGATAAGAAAACTATGGAATATGCAATTGCTTCTCACAACAGTGATTTCTTTACATATTTAATGAACAAATATGGTATTGAAGTAAATTTAAAGTGCTTTGCTGAATTTAATAATTTACAAGATTTCTTTATTTATCTAGATCATACTAATAATATTGATAAGTTCTTTGTTTATTCACCTGATTTCCATCTTATTTCCCTTGTTGAATATCTACTTTCTCATGGAGCAAATATCAACGCAAAGTTTGAATTTACTGCTCTTCATAATGCAGTAATAAATGAACGAAAAGATATTGTAGAATTTCTTGTATCTAATGGAGCGGATATCAATGAAAGAAAAACACTTGGAGAGACAGCGCTTCATTATGCAGCATATGAAGATTATGCTGATATTGCCGAATTTCTAATCGCACATGGAATTGATATTCAAGCTGAAGATAACAATGGCTGCACAGCAATGCATAGAGCAGCAAATCATAATAGTTTAAGAATTATCGATGTTCTTGTTTCGCACGGCGCTGATGCTAATGCAAAAGATGAAGAAAATGAAACTCCCCTTCATGCTGCTGCTTATTCAAATTACATATTGGCAGCAGAAAAGCTCTTTTCTTATGGAGCTGAAATCGATGCAAAAGATAATGAAGGCTGCACTCCTCTTCACAGAGCAGTTTGGTTTAGTGACAATGATTTTGTTGAGATGCTCATTTCGCATGGTGCGGATATTAATGCTAAAGATTACATGGATAGAACTCCTCTTCATCATGCAGCAAATCAAAATCGAAAGGAAGCTGCAAGAATTCTTATTAACCATGGTTGTGAAATTAATTGCAAAGATAAACGAAATCATACTCCTCTTGATGTAGTATCCAAGTTCGGCGGAAAGCGAATGGCTGATTTCCTAATTTCACAGGGGGCTAAAGGTTCTAGTGAACAATAATTAAAAACATGTATGTAATTGCAAATTGTAAATTTTTTATTCATTAGATAAAAGAGTAAAACTTATAAATAAAAAACATAATTGTACATTAAAACCATGTTTTAAAATACATGAACAGACAAAACAATCCAACGGAGTGATGATCGCATATCCATGGGATGACTGCTCACCTTTACTTCCCTTTGATACCTTTAATGAAACTACTTGCTGTCCATTTAACATTAGAATATCATTGAAGTATAATCCAGAATAATGAATTGGTTTTCCTCTATGGAAAATTTTTCCTTCGGTAGAATTTTCTGCGATAGCATTACATCCTTCATATCCACTCACAAAACTTGAGCCTCCGCTCCCAACACCAGCAAAAGCAATTCCCCCTCCTCCATAATATCCACCACCACCGTTAGGACCCCAATCATCAGGTATAGCTCCGGTTCCACCTATTCCAAACTTTCCAGAAGTACCACAGTGATAAGGACTATTAGTTTGACATCCATATGATCCACCTGATGTTTGAGTGCCTCCTGTTGTTGTGGTTGAATAATAGGTATTCTTTGATGAAAGGCCTACAAGACCTCCTCCATCACCGCCACAAAATCTTTCTCCGCTTCCTGCACCGGCGGCGACCATAATCCTACTTTTCAATGAAGCAAAATCATACCAATTTTCTGATTTTGTGAGGCGAATATCGGTCGCTCCACCGGCCGTTTGTGATTCGAGATTTTGTCTAATATTTGCATTAAATGATTCATAGCCTTGCTTTCCTGCTTCTCCAATATAGATGTACAAATCTTGTGATTGATTAAAATTAATAATTCCTGATACATATCCTCCATTCATTGTAGTATCGGTGCATTGTATTGTATTAGTATGACTAATATAACCTTCGGCTCCCCAAAGTTCAAATTTATAGGTCCCTATTTCAGCATGGAAAACTTGATATGAACCTGTAAATCTATATATTTTACTCCGATTTTGTACTATACCTCGTGTAAAACCCTAATAAAAAGATAAGATTAGCTCCTTAGAAGAGCTATCTAAAAATTGAGAAGAAAAATTTTAAACGTAAAATCAAATTTATAATGTTATACTACACTGATTATTATTTCACAATATCAATTTCAGAGGCTCACAAAATCGAAAAATTTTCTGAGAAAAATTTTTACCAAAAATAAAGGTAATCTCAAGAAGATCTAAACGACAGATTTCGATTTTTCTTATTCAGAAATTAAATACAACCATAAATAAATCAAATAATATATTTACAATACAAACAAAAAAATACATTTGAAATTTAATATTCATCTCCATCAGCAATCATCCTAAGCATTACATGCTCAAGATTCTCCACCGATATAGTATATCCTTCTGCGTTTGTTGACTTGATATCCTTGTCAAGACGCTTTAATAACGCAGGAATTTGGTTACAGACAGGTAACATGATGCAATCACCTCTTTCGAAGTCAATAACAGCATCAGGTATATCCAATTTAGTCATTTCTAGGACATCCGAAATAACCTTATCATAATCTTTTTCATCTTCCTTACAAATGACGTGTAATCTATATCCACACTTATACTGTTGTCTTAAATCACTCGATGTTCCTTGGAATTTGATAATTCCTTTTTCCATTACGAATAATCTTGACACAACAGCTTCTCCTTCTTCCAGAGAGTGGCTTGCGATGATTGTTGTCGTATTTCTGAAGTAAGAAGCGATACTCCATACGAGCTGTCTCTTTTTTACGTCAACGCCAACAGTTGGTTCATCCAAAATAACAAAAGAAGGACTTCCTATGAAAGCCATGGCCGTGGAGACACATCTCTTCTGGCCGGCTGATAGTTTGTTGGGATTTCGGTCTAAAATATCCGAAATGTCAAGAAAAGAGGCCATTTGGTCGATTTTTTCTTTAATTTCTGATTTTTTAACGCCTCTTAAGCGAGCAAAGAACACTAGATGTTCTCTAACAGATAAATAATCAAAGAATAAATTGTCTTGGTAACAATATCCTGTACATCGCTGTAAATCAAGAAATGAAGCTTCATTTCCGAAAATTTCAAGGGATCCGGAGTTAACAGGGATTGCTCCTGTAAGGGATTGCAACAACGTGGTCTTCCCACTACCATTTGGCCCGATAAGTAGAATAACTTCGCCTTTTTTGATATCAAAATTTGCGTTGTTGACAGCGACGATGTTTTTCTCTCCAGTATATATCTTAGTCAAATCCTTGACACTTAGGAACTTTTCACTCTCTTCAAAGTCGAAAAATTTTGAAAGATGAAATAATCTCTTCCAAGCGACTTTTTTGAAGAGATTATTGATGCCAAGAGGTGGTAGACCCCATTGTTTTGGTGCAAACAACACCGAAATCATAAAAAGAAAAGAATAGAAGAAAATTTGGAAAAATAAAAATCCAATTAATTGATTTGTAGTGAAAAGCTGGTGCATTCCAGGGTTTTTGAACGACATAGGTATTTCATTTTGTATATTCAACAACAGATTCTGGTAAAAGTTATGAACAACAGCTGATGGAAGAAAAATACAATTTGTTTTTGGATTTGATTGGATAACAGAAGGAAGGAACCATCCATATGTCGTAAGTAATATGTAAAGAAGAATAAACAATCCAAATCTACCAAATCTGTTGAAAAAAGGTGCCATAAAAACTCCGGAAGTGTACATCGCTAAAGAACTAAAGATAAAGAACAGGAAAAGCATTCCAAAGCTTACTCCTGTTTGGAAAACTTTCTTATGAGTATATTCTGTGATCGAAAAAAATAATGCAGCAAAAATACAATATCCGAAGTCAAAAAGTATAAATCCGAGCCAAATAACGCCATCTTTGATACCAGAGATGTTTAGCAATATCAATGCGCGGCTATGCATCCACCTTGTTAAAGGATAATAATGGGATAAAATTAAAAATATAAAAATCGCAGGGAATACCCATTCGCTCCAAACGAAACTTTTTGTATTGTCAATATTGTGAAAGGTAAAGAGTCCTTTTGAGTAAGATATATTTAAATGACTAATATTTTGTAAATAAACATTAAGTAAGCTATTTGAAAATGGGAAATCGTCGATATTCACTGTAAAGTAAGAAACATTTAACGTTGTAAGATTTTCATCTGAAGAAATTCTTGGAATAAAAATGGATTCTAAAGATTGGTACTTTAAATCAATATTTTTGGGATTTATTCGGAATTTATTGTCGGAAATATTTGTAAAAACTTGCTTTATTAATCTCTTATCTTTATCTGTGCTAGCGAAAATAAAAATTGTTCGATTATATGCATCAACAGTTGAAGGAATTGAAAAGTTGACTAATGTATGGTTGCGGTAAAAATCATATGCTAGGAATGAAATGCTATCAGCACAATTTGCAAAAATTAATGCAACAGAACTAAAAACAAAGAAATAAACTAAGGCTGATTTACTGCGCATTTTGAAATCTAGGTTCATCCATAAGAATATAGACTGAATAGCACTAACTCGCTTGGAAGTTTCTTGTGAATTCTGGTCTAATTCTTCTAAAATCATAATTATTTTTTGACAGTAATAATTTTTTTTTCCGGTTATAATAACCCCATCCTATTTTTTAAAAAATTCTTTCTCCACGATCATTTTATATCATTGATCGTACACCATTCGTTTCATGTATACAATCTTTGTTATCAACTTTATTTTAGGTAATTCCAAGTATCCATATATATTAAAAATAATAATATTTATTAGAGTGAATACAATAGTTAAGTAATACAATAGAAAAAGTAAATTTTATCTTTATCAATATTTTTTTTTTAATTAATAAGACAAACAAACTATTATCGATTAGAAACTTCTGGTTCTAATTTCAATACAACTGATTTAATAATCTAGACGTCAAATGATATCTGAAATAATGTGTTATTATTGTAAACAATTGCATCCATTATACAAGAGTTTTCAATTAGCTTATTTTCGGTAAGTCTAGTAGTTTTGGACTATTTATTGTTTTGAATTTTGTTTTGATTTAAAACATCCAAATTTACTATAATCTACCGTAATTGATCGGAATATTTTGGGTAAATATAGATGAGAATTCTGCTTTGATCGATTTTTTGATGGTTTTGATTCTTTGAAAAAATTTTTATCTAAATAAACTCTCCATTGTTTTGATCTGATATTGAAAGGTTTATAAATATCCCATGTATTTTCTGGTGGAAGTTCAGTAATGGTTAAATCGTATTTTACTGTATTCATTTCCAACTCAGAATGAGAATTTGGATCCGGTTGCTTCTTTTGAACCCACTTCTGAGGAGTTTCAGTCGAATTAATTGAAGGAGAGCTCATAAAACGAAAGAACTCTAATTGTTTGATGATAGCTTAATTGATTACAGTTTTTGAATAATTTTGACTAAGAATTTTTTTGGTCAGAAATGAAGGAATTAGTATCAAGAAACAATTTATAGGTATTAAAAATTCTTGACATTTTGTTTCAAACAATTTTCAAACATTAAATCGGTCCCAATTTCCAAATCATTAACAACATCTATTTGAATTTTTAATTCAAAATTTGATTTTTATAAGACAGAATAGAATATTGTAAACTTCTCAAATTTGATTTCTTTAATCTCCGCTTAAATTGGTGTTAATATTCTTTTTAACAAGGAAATTATATAAGATTCATAATATGATGCTTATGTTATTACAATAGGTTGGACATAGAATTTGAAAGAGTAGGGGTAATTTTAGCTAAAAGTGACACACCTGCAAAAAGTGACACACCCGTGAAGGGTGTGATTACCGATCGGTAATTTCGACAGTTTAGAATTTAAAATTTTTTATGGAACTGTTGCGAGTTTCATAAAGAATTTAAGGAATATAAGCAAAGATTTGAATCAAAATCTTAGACCTAAGCCGCTCGATTCGCTCGCGGCTTCCGCGAATTACAGATCAGCAAAGATTTGAATCAAAATCTTCGAACTAAGCCAATCGCTTCGCTCGCGGCTTTCTTTATTATTTTAAATTTGCATATTTCCATCAAAAGTTCATAAGGTAAAAAATTTCGTTTATATTATTGCAAAATAAAATCTTCATTATTAAGATAAGTACCTTAATATGTACGTAAATTTTAATGAAATTTATACAACATTATAAAAATTTATGAATAAAAACTTGATATAAAATAACATTTTTATTTTTACTAAGAAAAAAAAGGTTTTTGATAATAAATTTATTTTATTTCGAAAAAGTAGCAATAATCGTAAAAGGGTATTGATAGGCTTGCTAAAGTAACTAATTTTAGCTGTCAAATACTTTTGTATTTTGAAGTAAATTAGTATAAATTTGTTTTTACTTTTAGTTCGAAAAAGTAACAATAATCGTAAAAGGGTATTGATAGGCTTGCTAAAGTAACTAATTTTAGCTGTCAAATACTTTTGTATTTTGAAGTAAATTAGTATAAATTTGTTTTTACTTTTAGTTCGAAAAAGTAGCAATAATCGTAAAAGGGTATTGATAGGCTTGCTAAAGTAACTAATTTTAGCTGTCAAATACTTTTGTATTTTGAAGTAAATTAGTATAAATTTGTTTTTACTTTTAGTTCGAAAAAGTAGCAATAATCGTAAAAGGGTATTGATAGGCTTGCTAAAGTAACTAATTTTAGCTGTCAAATACTTTTGTATTTTGAAGTAAATTAGTATAAATTTGTTTTTACTTTTAGTTCGAAAAAGTAACAATAATCGTAAAAGGGTATTGATAGGCTTGCTAAAGTAACTAATTTTAGCTGTCAAATACTTTTGTATTTTGAAGTAAATTAGTATAAATTTGATATTATTTTAACTCCCTTTGAAAACCTCAATTTTCCATACAGAGGGAACGGGAATAGCATCCAATATTCCCTGAGAATGGTTGCGCATTCTCAGTTCCCTCTATATTCCGAACGAAGCTCTCATCGGTCTTTTTTTTAATACTAAACGTTTTTTTTCCTGTCACTTTTAGCTAAAATTTGGGTTTGCCGAATTTGAAAAATCTAAAACAAATGAAGAAATATAGGGAATAAAAACGTTTGCAAACAATTTGTCATAAAATTTGAAGTTTCATTCAAGATTTTGATCTTGTTCAACAAATCTTACCCTGATAAAAATGATGTTGCATGCTAAGATCAGTCATAATGTAAACCTCTCAATTTTATTGTCGTGGGAAGTATCTCAATTCCTTCAAAAAAATTGAAAAACTATTTAATTTTAAAAATATAATACTTTTAATTAGTTAATTAATTGGAGATATTCTTAAAAAATCACTTTTGATAATACTTTTGAGAACTTTAATTAAAAAAATATATTCAAAAATATCCAGGATATCAAGAGGGAATTGTTCCTTATGAGGTATATTGTTATGATGTATACCTCATAAGGAACAATTCCCTCCTTAAAATCGTAGACATTTTTATACTTATTAATCAACCTTTCAAAATCATATTCCTCTGAAAAGTTATTTTATTAAAAATTTAGAATTTTAATAAATATAGAGTTTGAATTTCATACAATACCTATATATTTTCAATAATGGAATTTGAAAACCATTCTCAAAAGTTCTCAGAAAACCTTTTTTTCATTAATTTTAAGAAATCTGAGTATTAAATTAAGTGATAAATTCGTTTGACACTACTTTAATTTTTAAATTCAAAAAATTATATGTGCTTCTTAAAATGACTCAAAAAATTTTATTATAAAATAATATATAATATTAAAAATCCCACAACATTTTTTACTTTACATAATCGTACTTCCTCGACGATTAATTTCCACTCAATTTCTATCGTTGACCGAACTTAGCATGCAACAATGATACGTATATCTTTGAAAAATTAACAGTTAAATTGAACCAATGGATAGTTTGTGTGCTACTAAGGATGTCGTTTTGTCCCCAGGGGGAATATTGCATTCCCCACTTTTTCTTCCATAGTTTTACTTGCTTTATAAACGATGATGTTTCGAATTCTGAAATTTTGTGATGTTTCTGATACAAAATTTTTATATGAAATTTATGTTGATGGATAAACAAATATATATATATTTTGATAATTAAATTGAAAGGATCAGAAATAAATTTTTTATGAGTAAAAGTGACATGTTATTTTTTGAACTTTTTTCTGAGAATATTAATATACTGATTGCAAAAATCTAAAATTTCTGTGAAACAAAGCGGATTGAAACTTTTTGTAAATTTGTCAAAAAATACTCAATTGGATAACCTTCCCTAAGATGAATGTAAATTCGGACCTTTATGATAATCCAGTTCATGCAGTTCTTCAATTAACAAATACTTTGGAAGATGACTATACTAATTGCCCTCCAGCATTTCAAAAATACTTCAAAAATGTTAAACTTCCAAAATTTAACAAGAAAACACTTGCGAAATTCGATGTGAACACTGAATCAACAGACAAAATCGTTGAAATGCTGCTTAAATCAGGTTATTCTTTTCCATTTTTTCCGCAATTGATTCCTCTTCTTTCAAATTCGAACAGTGGAATAGAGTACAATAAATTTGTCTTGTGCTGGGTTCTTAATACTGCAATTTCTTATACGATTTACTTCCATAATACGTCCGATTTAACTTACTCTGATAGTGTTTTGAAATTATTACTTATGTATACGAATTCCGACTATACTAACTACATTATCTCATGCTTTATATATGTATTTACAACTATTTCGATATCGTTTAATGAAAATAACATAGAAATTTACATGATGATTTTACTTCAATTCTTTTCATTGCCATTTTCCCATGATATTCAATCTACAAATCTAATACCAACAGTACTTACAGTTTTACTACGTTCTTTTGAGAAAAATCCTTCATTAGCCACAAAATTTATTGATAAATGTAACGAACTGTTCGAAAACGACATTTTAATGCTTGACCGATACTCTCTAGCTAATCTACTATCACTTACATTACCTCTTATCCTAGAATTACAAGCCTGCGCCCTAAGATTTCTAAAAATCGGAATTAAATCGAAGCTTCCATGCGATTTTGCTACAATATTTTCACTACTTCCTAGATACATGTATAAAACATTCATCGAAACTCCAAACAAAATAAGCTGGGAGAAAAAAAATAATTTGGTCGTATTTGAGACCACAAATGTCTACGACGGCTTGATGGAAGTTGTACAAAATAATCCTAATACGGATACCCTCGAAATGACTGAAATATCTCTACCAGAAGAAATACAATTAACTTACATGTTTCCTACTGAATCGATCATGAAACTTGAGTCGATAATCGATATCTTGGACGGCAAAGAAACATATTCCCTGATTTTCTATGAAGAACTCCTCAAAATTTGCGAAAAATCCGAATTTGAATTTATCGGAAATGCTTTCGCCGGAGCTTTGTATTTTGCAGAGTCTATCTCAACATATACAAATGTAGGTTTAAATCTTGTGAAATCAACGATTTTTGACCCTCATATTACATATTTTGATCATTGTAAGGGATTTAAGTACTTAAACTCCTTGAGAATGCACGCAGTCAACTTAATATTATCAGAGAACTGGTATGAGCCCATGGAAACCTTAGTTCTCTCAAATTATCGTTATCCAAATTTAATTTCGGAACTTTTTTACAGAATAACATACAGTTTGCCATTTCTATCCAGAATGATCGTTACTTATCCGAAATTGGCCAAAGTTTTCCGTCAAATTTTCTCATATTACAGATCTCTCAGAATTTCATCTACAGAGAACATGGAATACATCAAAAGAGCCGAGATATCATGTTATTCGCTCATTGCAGCTCTTTTTAAGAACAAAGAAGCAGCAAAAGTTCTGATTTCTGATATGCTCTTTATGACATCATTTACTTTGCTTCTTTCTGATGATTACACGAGGAAATATTGTTTGGAACAGTTCGAATACCTGTTTTCTGTTCTTCCTTATGAAGATTTAATTTTATTATTTAATTATCTCATTCCTCTTATTGCCAATATCATTATTAACATTGACAATGACAAGAACGTATCAGTTCTCATGGAAATATTCCAATCTCTCCTCAAAATTTTCAGAAATCGGAATGAACTGAAAAATCTTTCCGAAATTTTGATTCCTCATTTCAGTAACTTGATGGAGAACCTCCAGTCATCCAAAGAAAGCCACAAATCCCTGTTTAAGCTCACTTTTTCCTTGTTAATTGAGATATCAATTGAAATTAAAAAACCGTTAATAGTTATCATTGCCAAGACCATTCCAAACATGTTCCAAAGCGATTGTCCAACCGATGTCTATGAAATGTTGGTCAAATTCATGAATGGAAATACAAATAACATGTTACCGAGTTTTATTCTTAAAAACAACAATTCCTTGTTATTGTATTTCAAAGTATGCTTTTGGTACAAACTAATTGACAAATGTCTTGATTTTGCTATGGGATTAATTCAATTTTCCCCTGAAAACGCAAAAATGGCCAACAAAGATGAAGTTGATTTATTTTTATTGTCACAACTGGAGAATTCATCAGAAGTAGAGAAAATCTTGGATTTATTCCGAGAAATAAGTTGTATTTATTCTTCTCCAATGGTTGTGAAATCATATTTTACTTTGTTGTCGCCAATCAACAACAAATTATCAAAGAATCATGTTTTGTTGATGAAAACATTATCAGAGATTTGTTTTAATACATATTGGCTGCAAAAGAAATCATCATTATTAGGAAATACTTTATCAAGTAATGATTTCAAAATTTCTGACAATTTTACAAAAGGATTTTCATTTTTATTTTGGTTTATTATGAGAGCGACAGATACAACTGTCGTACCAATATTTAATATAGAAATAGATGACTTCGTTTTCTCTATTTATATAAGAGAAACAACTTTATGTGCTTTCATTAATTCTAATAATTTTAATCAAGAAATTAGAGTTCCTTATAAATTTAGAAAAGGTGTTTGGTATTATTTAATAATGAATTACAAAATTAACGAAGAGAATACGGAGTTAACAATTAAAATACATCATAATGAATTGTCTATTCTTAAAATGTCTAAAACAACATTTGATCCTGAGAATATTGCGCATGCAAGAATTGGTTCTTTAGTTATGAATAACAAAAGTATAATTGAATTGGGTGTTTCTTTTTTGACTTCACTTTTGAATCAAGAACAAATGAAAGAATTAAGTCTTTGCACGCCAACAAGTAATATATCAGGGTTAGTTAAACCTTTGATATCTTTCGAACCTGGTTCTCAAACAGATTCTCATGATGACTCAAGTTTTGTTTATACAATTGTAAAATTGTGGAAATTTGACATTGTTCTTCCTTTGTTTTCTCTGTTCGATATCAGGTTTTCTGATGGTTCTCTTTGGCAGGACGCGGCATCAGAAACAGTATCAATACTTGCAAAAACATTAATGAGCGGTGATTACGCAGAAAGATACTTTTTTGAACAAAAGAAATTCTCTTTAATCGCTCATATTTTAGTCCAATATCCGCCAAAAACTTTGACATACAAAATTTACATTCAATTTTTCAATTTGTTCGAAATTCTGAACAATATAAACCTCAGAAAACATTTATTTGATTCAATTCTTGCAGAACCATATATCTGGATTACAGCAGATGCAGAAGATCATTTGAACATATTAAAGCATTGGTCAGGAACATTGTTTATCAAAGCTTTGAAGTATTTACAAGAATTCAGACCATTGAATGAGTTATTGAATGTTTTAACTTTCTTTTATTGGTACGAAGACACATCAGGGATTGCTTTTGGAGGAAAAGACAGTAAGAGACCGAGAGATGAAAAGTTGGATATAACAAAATGTAGAATTGAAATTAATAATTGTATAAAATACTTGGCATCTTTGAAATTCACGAAAGATGACTTATGTTTGATAATTAGAACATGTTATAATTGTAATCATGATGAAAAACAAGTCATTTCATTGTTGGATTTATGTGAAGATTTAATTCTTTCTTACGCTGATCAGAAACTCATACAAATTGATATGCAAATGCTTGCTCCTTTGCATGATATGCTCTCGAGATCTGAAGAAGCAATTGCTTACATGATAATCAAAGTTTTCATAGCAATAAGAAAGAAAAATTTGATGTCAAAAAGTGACATTTATTCATTATTTGACATATGCATTTATTCGATGAATACTCAGATATTAAGTCAATCTTTCTTTGTAGGGATATCCAGTTACATCAAACAAATACCAGAACTGTTTCCAATGGCTTGTTGGATTTCTTTCATCAAAAATGACCAAATCATATTTGATGATTTAATTAAAAACATCCAGAAACTCACGCCAAGTCAGGATTACGTTTGCGCTGATACATGGTTCATTTGGCCATTAATAGCTGCTTCAAAAATCAACAAAAGTGATTTGAAAATTTTGATTTCTTTCATGTTGAATTGTCAAAAAAGTGACATCAATTTATTACTTAATCAATTGAGTGTTATATGTGCAGCGTTACCTAATGAGTCTGATGATTACCAATACTCCTTCCTGGAGACTGCTTTAAGAATGCTAGAATCAAACGAAATCAAACAAAATCAAGAAAATTATTTAATTGTCATCAAACACGTTTTCTTGTTTTTGTATTTAAGAAAAGAGGATTCTGTGAATACTACATTGGTTTCTGAGTTCCATAAATCACCTTTCATTTCGAAATCAGAATCCGAAATTATTGAAAAAGGAAAATCTCCGAAAAGGTTCCCAAACGGGTTCGGAATCGTCAAAATATTCAAGATGTCTGCGTTCGACATCAAAAACTACGTTTGCGGATACAGATTTGACTCCCAAAACTCAAAATGGATGGATTCTGATATCGCTGACTCATTTATAAAGATCTTGTCAAAACAGGATACTTTGCAATACGACCAACTAGGTTTGTTGATGCTATCTTTAGTGATGAAATCTAATAATAAAACGAATAAAAGTGACTTGTCACTTTTTGCGAGAATTAATCGGTATACAAATCATCCTGCCGATGTCGCTGAGAACTTTTCGAGGTTGTATGAGCAATCAATTAAATACTTGGATGAAATGAAAGAGATAAACAACGCTGTTTTGGCTCATCATTCGAGTTTAACGAACATTGCAACAAATATGATAACAACAGTGTCTGAAGACATTGATGGAGAAGAGAGAATAATGACACAGTCATATAGTAAGAAGATGTTCGAACAACATGACTCAAATGAGCAGTGGAAAAGAATTATTTCTGCAATGACGGCAGAAAAAGGTCCGTGGTCATCAATTGTACCTGAAAATGTCATAAGATGGAAGAGAGAGAACACAGCATGCTTCGCTTTATGCCCTTATCGTATGAAAAACAACGATAATTTTGATGATCACAAAATTGCTTCTCAATTCAGAGATTCGATCATCACAGAGTTTAGATTTGAGAAGAAGAAGACGGAATATCCTCCGAAAAAGATCTTTTCCGGGTCACAATATGAATTAATCACGAAATGCAAGAGAATAAAGACAAAAGGAACCAAGAAATACCTTCTAGGTATTGCAGCAAACTCAATTGACATGGTTTCTTCTGATTCTTCCATTAGAATTATCCCGAATTCTCATGTGAAGTTTATTTTCTTCAGAACAAGGTACCACAAACCTGTTGCTATCGAGATATTCACGTTTTCTGGTAAATCTTTCTTCCTAGAATTCGTAGAATATAAATCTTCATTCCAAATTTTGGAAAAAATGTCAGAAAACCTCAAAAAGAGGGTCCAAACCACAGGATTCTTGGACTTTTTCTCAATTTCTGGCATCACAGAGAAATGGGTCAATAATAAGATGTCAAACTTCTCTTATTTGATGAATTTAAACGTTTATTCAGGCAGAACATTCAATGACATGTCGCAGTACCCTATTTTCCCTTTAGTTCTCGTTCCTTCGGAGACTTATGACTTAAATGGTCCGAAATCTTTCAGAGATTTGTCAAAACCGATTGGCGCTCAAGATGATGAGAAACTACAGAAGCTGATAGAGAAAATGAATGACAATGAAGAGCATTTCTTGTATACTTCTGGTCCAATTTCAAGTTTAGTCATTTGCCACTACTTAATAAGAATTGAACCGTTCACAACATCACATATTGAGCTCCAGAGTGGCAAATTCGATGTTCCTGATAGGATTTTCTTTAATTATAACGCATCAATGAAGAATATCTATGTTGATTTGAACGATAACAGAGAATTAATCCCAGAGTTCTTCTTCCAACCCGAATTCCTTAAGAACCAGAACAATTTCGACCTCGGAAGGACACAAACCGGAATTATCTCAGATGTGATTCTTCCAGAATGGGCCAGCTCCCCACTAGATTTCATCTACAAGCAGAGAAAAGCTTTGGAATCACAGTACGTTTCAGCACATTTGCATGAGTGGATTGATTTGATGTGGGGATACAAACAGAGAGGCGAAGAAGCAGAGAAAGCTAATAATCTTTACGATCCAAACTTGTACGAAGATGTTTGGGAGAAAAATAAAGAAAATTTGGCCACAAAAACGTTTTTGAAGCTTCTTGGACAAATTCCTCCACATCTTTTCAACAAACCACATCCCCGCAAGGTCATGAATCAGAAGCAATTAATAACTGTTCCTTACCATTACATAAACCAAGAACTGAAATCTGTCACTTTTTATTACGGGTGTGCAGACATGAATGGTCGGTTAATATTAATTGGTGATGATTCATATCTTCGTCTTTACAGTGAGTTAATCACTGATGATGAGTTCGAATTGATCCAATCCGATGCACATTTAATAACATCAAAATTCCTTTCCCAAAACATGTCAAAAGACATGTTATTTAGTTCCGGCAGCGATTTCATTGTAACTGCCAACAAACACAGTAATCAGTTGTTCGTAATTGGCGTTGACAAAGCAGTTACTTTTACAACAACTTCACCTCACAAAGAGATATCAAATATCTCAGCCGATGGAAATTATTTTGCAACGACAGGAACGGACAACATGCTCTATATCTATAGAAGTGGTTTCTCCAAGAAGATCTCCTTCTCAACACACGTTTACAGAGAAACAGTTACTTCTATGTGCGTCAGCGATTCCTACAAAGTTGTTGTTTGCGGAACAAGAGATGGCGGTTTAATCGTCACCAGTTTGACAGATGGCATCACTGTGAGAGTCATGGATGTACACGAGGAACCAGTGAAGATATGCGTAACTCAACAATGGGGATTCATCGTTTGCTTGATTCTGATGCAATCAAATTTCAAAATCGTTGTTTTCACAATTAACGGAGAATTTGTGAATGAAAAAACAGTTAGATGTGATTCACAGGTCACAAACATGTATACTTTCTCAACATACAAAGGATTCGACTACATATGTGTTGTGAATTCACTTGGAAAGTTGTTAGTTGCTGAAGTTTACACTTTAGATTTTAATATTTATTCACCAGGATTAACAAGTGGATTGTGCGCACTGACGTATTCCCAGAACACAGATTGTATTGTATTGATGGAGAAAACAGGAAAAATCATTTACCAACCAATTAATACAACTATGAATTGAAAATTTTTATATTATTTTGTTTATAATATGTTTTACTTTTATATATAGATTTTTGTTATTAGAAATAAATTATTATGCGGTAATATCTTTTTAGTATTTTATAGAATTTATTGAAATATCTTTATCGAAATAGAAACTTATGAAGCAATCTATATAAAGTTAATGTTTCTCAAGTAAATAAGTTTGAGTACACTTTCTAAAGGTTTCATATTTATTTTGTTTGATTTGGATCAATTTGAGATTAAAAGATTGTTTCATCATTCCAGCATAAATGAAATTATATGCTTTCATATGTTCATAGATTTATATGTATTATTCATTTTTATGTAATGGAAGAATTTAAAAGTTATGATCAATATATAATTGATCAAAAGCCTGAAGAGCAACATAAGCACAAGGCCTATATAGATGAAACTAATGACAGTAAAGGCGAAATTGAAGAAGAAACTCTTAATTTGATTGATTCAATTATCGAAGATATGGAAAATATTCAAAATACTAGCATAAAATTGATATTTTCTAACTTAAAAGCTATATTAGAAGAGAATGACCAATATAATATTGCTTCAATTCTTCAAGAAAAAGAAATTTTGAGTTTAATTATTAATATTATACATAGTTCACATCTGACCATCGAAGATAACAAGTATTTAATAGAATTTTTCAATGTTATTTTGAACAATTGCAAAGAAAGATCTTATGATTATTGGATTTCCCAAGATTATGTTGTATATTTGATGAATTGCGCTCATGAAGGACTTCTTAGCCAATATGTATATAATTATGGCTTGACTCCTTGTTTGGCAATGAATGAAACTGTATTTCATCTTTTAATACAAGAGCATTGGATTGATTTCATGTGTGAGAGTTACAGTTCACTCCTTAAAGAGATATCAACTGAAATTGACGAAGCTGAAGAAATTAATATATTTTTCGCAAGAGAATCAATCAAATCAACAATTACGATAGGGTATATTATGGTCGGAAAATATTATTCATTTATATCTGAAGAAGATCTTTCCAAACTAATTGATATTTTTATTCATTCTTTTGCATTTGATTTTTGTAGAAATCATTCTATTTATGCATTGTTCTTACTAGTTAAGATAATACCTAATCATGAAACTGGTTTTCTAAGTAGCGATGATATTCAGCAAATTTTATTAAATATTTCATTGGATAGTAACCAAGCAATAGCTGGATACTCACTTTATATCATTAGGAAAATGCTCTTAAATAATCAATTCTCTCTAATTTCTGAATTAATTCAAAATATTGATACAATTCTTGAAAACTTCTGTTGGGTGGAATTAACAAAACCAGCTAAATATATCCTCAAAATAATGCAAATTCTTGTTCAAGATCCAGAATTGCGAGATGTTTTTTTAACTCAGAATAGATTTCTTTTCTTTGATAGTATTATTAATGATATGGAATTCAATTTGAAGCAGATACTTCTTAACTGCATAATGACAGCGATGTCGTGTTCAACACAATCTTTCATTGAATCTTTGATTAATTCTCATAATTTGATTGAAGAAATCCTATCTTTGACTGAAGAAATCGATCCTGAATCGAAAAATGCATCAATTCTCATTGATTCATTATATTCAATCATTCTATTTTTGGTGAATTCAGGCTGGAGTTGTATAACTTTGGAAGAAGTTCAAAATTTGATATCATTAGATTTTATAATAGATTATTTAGAGATTGATTCACAAAATAAGACAAAAGCAAAGTATATTGTTCAAGTTTTAGAGTCAAATAATTAATTTCGAAAATAATTTTATTATCAAACAAAAAAAGTAAAAATAATAATTAAACTGTATGAGTCAATAAGTATTCAGATGACTTATCATGGAAAGCAGGAACAGGAAAGATCCAAAAGTACCATTTCGCTCTTGGACCGCAAACTTCTTCCCAATTATCAATACAATTTGGTTTCGCGTAGCTATTTTTGTTGTCTTGCATTTGTTCCAGCTGTGTGGAGTTCGTATGTATGTTGTAGATTCCGACACAACCGAAATTACAAGTCATCATGCAAAATAGGATGCATTGGAGCATGTAAATCAATGTAAATAATAAAGACGGGATGAATGGCTGTGGAAGCGAGAGATTTGAAACTAATGCAAAAACGCAATATCCTAAAAACTGGGAAGTGTAAATAGCGCCCCAAATGTTAAAGAGGACAAATAATTTGTAATTCTTCTTACCAATAAATTGTCCTGTCCAACCACAAAAATGGTCTGGTCGCAATACATAGCGTTGAACTGTTTTGAAGAAGCCAACTCTGCTCATTTTTGGCTTGCTTCTAACGTAGTTTTCTTGTTGCTCATTGGAAACGACGCCACTTAAGTAATCCGGAACTCCATCATCTCTTTTTGTAATTTGTAATGGATAGTAGAAAGGAAGAAAGCCCGGACCTTCGAAAATAGTTGCGAAGTAAGATAATAAGAAGCAAATGTTGGAAATTAGCATAATTGAGTCAAGAATTAAGTTTGTAAATGGAAGGAAGGTACGAAGTATCAAAAAATATACGAAAAGTGAGGATGTTATCAAGAGGATAACATAAATACTAGGACAATAAGATATTTTCCATTCATTACAATATAAATCTTTGTTCGAAGTGATTCGATTAAAACTGCAGCCCATAAAATCACACTCATGGGTCCATGACGTGATATCTGGTATTCCTGATGACGAAAACTCCGTAATCTGGGGATTTAAAAATTCTTCGTCTGACTCCCCAAACATCTGAAAATTTGTCAATTTGAATTTGCGAGTCATGAAGAGTAAAACTATTTCTCTGGTATATCTCTAGAATGAATAAACGCCAAATTAAAAATTTAAGAATATTCTCAAAATTGCGCTTTATCGATCTGTTTTCGACCTCCATTCACACAAAATTTGTGGTCACCAAATTTTCGTTTTCCAAGGATATAGTATTGCTTTCATTCAATGAAAATATACTTGCTATATGCATCGCACAATGTGTGTACATGTTGCTATAGATAGTTTCATCTTAAACCCTTTAGATAACAAGATACCCACATTCTCCTAAAATTGAATGCCCTCTCAATTTTGAGAGAAATATCACGAGCCATAAACTCTTAATAAAAAGGCGAAATGAAAGCTCGCCAAAGTATGGTATCTCTAGAGAATATGTTGGAGCCGAATTTCTATCCATTAATGAAACATTATCTGTTTCAATATCAACAAAATGAAGATTGTTAAAGGAGTATTACACACTCATATTGTTCTATATTCATTTCAAATGTCTGGCATAATGTCTGTATTAAAGTAACACATGAATCTAAACACAATAAGAACAAAAATAAAAAAATTGATTTTTTATGCTTTTGAATGATTTTACTATTAATTTGCTTACAAGTATGAAAATTTCAGCATTCTTTTGTGTGATTATGATACAGTTTCACTTTATGCAACAACATTGCCAGCCCTTAATACGGATGAAAACATAAATATGTAAAAAATATGTACATATTCCGAAATCACATAAATGTGATGCTATAAATGATATCACATTTTTGAGATATGATCAATTAAGTTGCAGGTTGAGAAATAACATGATGTGCATATAAAAATATTATATACGTCAATCCTATGCATTAATTTTATATAAAATCCATCATTTTCTGGGAAAAATGTATGAAAATTAAAGATGGAAACTGTATTAACTAGAACCTTTAGCATAGATAGGCTGGACTAGAAGAAACAAGTTCATTAAAATGCTCTTAGCTTAAATATCATGAATTCAGAAAAATCAATAGTTTTGAAAAAAGAAAATTTAGTGAAAATGATTGTTGTACATTTCTTAGATATACAAAGCTTATCTAATTCTATAAATAGATAAGATTTTACCTAAAATTTGAGGAACTGTGATAATCCCATGAAAAATAATTGAAAAATATAATGAGAAAATAAAATATCGTTTCGTAAATTACGTTCGGCGATGAATCTGATTTAGAAATATAATGGGCTTAAAATGTCACTTTTGGTAAATTAATCAAAAAAATTCAAAAGGTGATTAATTCTCTTTTCGTTGTTTAAAATTTTACTTAATAGTTACAATAAATAGAAATAAAAGGAAAATATCGAAAATATTGAATTTTGATTTCTAATGGTGTTGTTTTAATATCAGTAACGAAATCTTGTACTTCATACACGTCATAAAAAATCCTCCCAAAATACTCTATTTCAAACTCTGAAAAGTTGAATTTTCTTCAAAGTATGAAAAATGTAAATAACTATTTACGAATAACTAATATTTCTTGATTTTAGAAGAATGCCAATTCAAATTTGTCAAAAGAAACCGTCACGATATTTGGTCAATTTGAATCATACTCAAAAAATAACTAAATGAATTTGAGGGGAAAACGAGTATTACAAAGATTAACTGAATAACTAATAATTTATATAATAATAAAATATAACCCGAAGCATAGAACATTAAACTCCAAAGTATAAAATATTATCAATATTTCTTTCATCGAAAATTGAAATTAGTTCTTCCAGAGGAACCTGGGTAGGCTTCGCTGCCGGTAAATAGAAAAAATCCTTGGGCTTCTCTGACTTTTTTTCTTCCTTTGGCTGTGTTATTTTTGGATCGGTTGGCTGTTCACGAGTCATCCTTGCTTGAAGTATATGATACTTATTTTTAATTTGACTATCATGTCGACCTTGAAAATGCTTTGCAATTTGTGTCCATTTATGATCTAATTCATTCACTAAATTCAGTAAAAGCTGCTCTTCTTCTGGAGTCCAAGGTCCATTATTAACGTTAGGAGATAAATATCTTGTCCATCTATCTTTGCATTGGCGTTTATTTCGGCCGGGCATGTAAGAAGCAATTAATTTCCAGTCATTTTCGCCATATTTATTTATAAGATCTGTTAGTTTTTTATCTTCTTTGGCACTGAAGCGGCAGTTGACTTTATTCTTGGATACATATGAGTATGCCTCCATCAAATATAAATGTCTAAATTTGAATTGACTTTTAAATTTTTGTAAACATCATTTTGATGAATTCTTAACAATAATTTGTGAACAAATCCCAAAGTAATTTTTAACAGCAGTACTGTTGCATGCTAAGTTCGGTCAACGATAGGAATTGAGAGGAAATTAATCGTCGAGGAAGTACGATTATGTAAAGTAAAAAAATGTTGTGGGTTTTTTAATATTGTATATAATTTTATAATAAAATTTTTGTGAGACATTTTAAGAAGCACATATAATTTTTTGAATTTAAAAATTAAAGTAGTGTTGAATGAATTTATTGATTAATTTAATACGGATATTTCTCAAAATTAATCAAAAATAGGTTTTCAGAGAACTTTTGAGATATCTTTTCAAAATGTCTTTTTGAAAATATATAAGTATTATATCAAATTGAAAAAAGGTATTTATCAAAATTCTAAATTCTTAATAAAAAATAACTTTTCAGAGGATTGTGATTTTGAAAGCATGAGTAATAAGTAAAAAATATCTACGATTTTAATGAGGGAATTGTTCCTTATGAGGTATACATTATAACTATATACCTCATAAGGAACAATTCCCTCTGATAGCTGGGAAACTTTCTCTGAATAACTTATCATTTGGACAGAAAAGTGACACTTTACATGGCAAAAAATAGAGCCTTACTTTTGAGATACTTGAGATTGAAACTGAATCTTATGAGGCGGTGATCTTGAATCACTACCTCATAAGGTTCAGTTTCATATAAAATTTGTTGCAATTTGTTATTCTTTTGCAATTATTTCTTATAAGATTTTACATCTTTTAGCGGGGAATGTTTGTTATCATGTATATATTATAAATATCTACACGATAACGAACATTCCTCGCTAAATTGCTGAGAAACTTTGAGGAAATGTCGAACAATTTCCTCAAAGTTTCTCAGATTTATATAGATCACTAGAGTTCCCTAGGCACTGATTCTGGTTCAGTACCTAGGAGGCTCTAGTTCTCTAACGAACTGATAAAATGTTTTTAAATTTTTGGATATTGCTACCTGTGAAGCACTGACTTCAAGTCAGTACCTCACAGGTAGCAATTACATTGAAAGATGGGAGAAACTTTGTCCGAATGTTAAACTATTCGGACAAAGTTTCTCACATTTGTAGTGGAGATGGAAGGCTTTGAGGTATATTGTATTAATATATACCCCAAAGCCTTCCATCTCCACTTGAAAGTGTCCAAACTTTGGGTTAATACTTTGCAATTAACCCAAAGTTTGGACACTTTCTAGAAGGAATTGGAGGGTAAGAGATATACATTCATATGGTATATCTCTTACCCTCCAATTCCTTCTTAAAATGGGAGAAACTTTGTCCGAATGTTAAACTATTCGGACAAAGTTTCTCCCATTTTTTGAAGGAATTGGAGGCTATGAGATACTGATGCAATGTCAGTAACTCATGGCTTCCAATTCCTTCCTAAAACTCATAAAAGTGGACATTACATGCATATAAAATTTGACACGTAAAGTCCACTTTTTGTGAGCGGGGATTTGACTCCGTCAAATCCCCTTTTTCGTTTACGAGAAAGCCAAATTCTCTCAAAAGTTAAGTAGGACCAATTTTTTATAAAAAAAAATCCAATTTCATTATGAATGTTAATTAATTTATATAATTATTGAATAAAAAATTTTCTTTGAGATTATGAAAAGTTCTTTGAAAAGTTATTTTTTCTCATTTTTAAATATTGTATTAGCCTATTTATTTATAATCCAAATTAAATAACTTTAAATTCAATATTTAAAGAATAATTTTGAAGGAATTGAGTTACTTCCCCCGACGATAAAATTGAGAGGTTTACATTTTGACCGAACTTAGCATGCAACAGTATGTTTAAGTAGTATATAAATAATATAAAGTTATATATTTTATTAAATTTAATGAGTTTGTGATATGTTTAAGAAATAATTGTGAAGATATGTTAATCGTTAAATATAAAAACACCGAGGAGCTAAATTGGTATTTGATGAAATAAGTAATCCAAAAGATTTAGCGTTTTGTGTGTATGTTGTCATTCATTCTTTTGAACCATCCTAAAAAAAATCGAAATTTAAAAATGAATTCATAATAATATTTACAATAAATTATAATTCTTCTACATGGATATTCTTAAAATTCAAAGCGCTTCTAACTTCAAACATTTGCTGATTAGAATTTGCATGTCGAGCATTGACATTCTTCAGCTGCAATTTAGGCAAACAATCCTCTGTGATTGTTTTCTTCTGAAACTTGATTTTTCCTATAATCTGGTTTTTGTTCTTCATATGATCAATCATCTTCAGAAGTTCTTCGCTAGATGGTCTTTCATTTGGATTAACTGCAAGGCATTTGTCTATAATCATGCCTAAAATTCCAGATGCTCCGGTTAAAATTTGTAATCTTCCTTCTTGCATGTATCTGAAGAGCTGAGCTTCGCTCTTCACTGCCCAAGGATATTTTCCGCAAGCTAAAATGTTAAGGGTAACGCCTAATGCCCACATATCTGATTTCTTTCCATCATAAGATTCGCCTTTTACAATTTCAGGCGCTATATAAAGAGGTGTTCCGCAAAATGTTTGAAGTGATGAGCTATTCTCTTTTGAAAGTCCAAAATCTATCAGCTTTGGTCTCATATCTTCATCAAATAATATATTTTCCGGTTTTATGTCGCGATGACTAATTCCACGTTTATGGAGATAAGCCAATGCATCTAAAATCTGAACGGTAATGTTTAGCTGCTCTTCGTAGGCAAAGTGCACGCCTTTGTTAAACAAAGATTGAAGATCGCCATTTTGAGCGTATTCCATAACAATCATAATAATATCAGGTTCGTATATTATGTCGTAAACTTTAACTATATTTGGATGATTAAATCTTGAGCAAAGCCTGAGTTCATTCTCTAGATAATAGATAATATTTTGCTGGGTTACAAACTCTCGATCCAATATTTTTACAGCGACCTTTGTATTTGTTTTTGCATCTATGCCTAAAGCAACAACTGCAAAAGCTCCTTTTCCTATTGTACCTATGATTTTATATTTTCCGACTTGTGCCGGAACACGAATTCTTTTCTGATTTGATGCTTCACGCTTCTTAGATTCCATTATATCTGTTATAAAATTTCAATAGTCTTTGAATTTAAAAATAAAAAACAATGTTGGGATTATCCAATAAATATTGATTTAAATTCCGAGAATTAAGACCTTCTCAATTCAATTTTCAATCTACGAATTGAATTTATTGAGTAAGATTTTTAAAAAGAATTCATACAAATCGTGTTCGTCAAAATGCAATATACAACATATGAAAGATTAATGAAGTTATTAACAAATTCAATGTACTCTGAAATCCAAAAGATTTCCCCAGTTAACAAATAATATAAAGTACGTCTTTATTTGATATTGATTCTTTATAAAATTTTAGAATAAATAAACATCTCAAAAATCATTGCAGCATAAATTAATTGTGAAAAGTCATTGAAACTTTTTTCAATTGTTTGATTATTCTTAATATATTGACATGACGTTTTAAAATTAATTTTTAAGTTTTTTATGCGATTAATAAAGAGGTAGGGCAACGATAGAAAATTTTTGGAAAAAAAGTTCGGAGATCTTAAACGTATCATATTCCCTGCATGGTTTGGTATCTTCCGCCATGCGTTGTGCCAAACATATTGACACTTTCCAATAATTAATTTATGGTATGAGTCACAGAGTTAGATTATAAAAAGAAAGTAAATAATTGCAATTAGAAATCATATATGTCGGAAATCAAATGTTGATGAGCAGAAACCTTTTACTCATCATAAAAGAGATAAATCACTAAAGATTTGTATACATTAAAATTTGATATTTGGTGCTCGAAAACTGTCTGATGGGACTCCTCCAAAATGAACCAATCTATCGCTGAGGACCAAATTAGATGATGTGGATGGTGTATTCTCTAATTCTAACTTAGGAAGAATGGGAACAAAACGAATGACGACAACAACATGTCAAACATAGATTAAATATCTATGAATCAATAAAGTATACGTGCATTGAAGGTGATAACAATCACTTGAGGTTTATAACTCTTTGACTAAATTATGCAATAATTAAATATAATCATTTTTATATTTTTATACTGATAGTAATTAATTACTATCCTGCTTAATAAATGGTATGATCAAATTGTTTGAAAATTTAATTATGTATATGAAACTATGTCTTCTATATAAAAATCAAAATTTTCGGACGAACCTAGATTGAACCTTTATGAAATCTATCATTTTTTGTTAATTGAGTTAATATGAATCTTTTACATATGTATATATAGCATTGATAGCTTATATAATCATGGTTTATTCCATATTAACATATTTTTTCAGTTAAATTTGTTAATAATATCATGTAACAAATTAATTCAAGATTAGAATGTCTACAAAATGCTAACAAATAAGAACAAAATACGATTTCTCGACTTAAATTTTAATATGGAGTAGTTTTTCGTTTAAATCTAATTAAAAATGAATAAAAACTTATCTTGTACTATTTTCATTCAAAGATTTTAATAATGTAAATCATGCATTTTCATAATTCAGTACAGTTCTTTTTAGAATTAAAGTTGATGAGGATGATATTTGTGATTTAAAATAATTTGTTAATGTTCACCTTTTATTCATCACCTTGTGGTATGTCCTAAAGCAATAGCATTATCAATTCTGCTGAATTGATCAACTCAAAATTCCAAAAAAAATTTAAAATTTCAAAAATGAAATTAAACAATTTGAATTTTCACATGAAAAAATCAATTTCGAAAAAAAATTTGGAAAATCAAAGTATTTGATAATTAGTCAAATAATCAATTTACTGTTGCATGCTAAGTTCGGTCAACGATAGGAATTGAGAGGAAATTAATCGTCGAGGAAGTACGATTATGTAAAGTAAAAAAATGTTGTGGGTTTTTTAATATTGTATATAATTTTATAATAAAATTTTTGTGAGACATTTTAAGAAGCACATATAATTTTTTGAATTTAAAAATTAAAGTAGTGTTGAATGAATTTATTGATTAATTTAATACGGATATTTCTCAAAATTAATCAAAAATAGGTTTTCAGAGAACTTTTGAGATATCTTTTCAAAATGTCTTTTTGAAAATATATAAGTATTATATCAAATTGAAAAAAGGTATTTATCAAAATTCTAAATTCTTAATAAAAAATAACTTTTCAGAGGATTGTGATTTTGAAAGCATGAGTAATAAGTAAAAAATATCTACGATTTTAATGAGGGAATTGTTCCTTATGAGGTATACATTATAACTATATACCTCATAAGGAACAATTCCCTCTTGATAGCTGGGAAACTTTCTCTGAATAACTTATCATTTGGAGAAAGTTTCCCAGCTATCTATTAGAAACTAAAGGCTGTGAGGCACTAATATATAATCAGTGCCTCATAGCCTTTAGTTTCTTATTAAAAACGAGAAAACTTGTTCGAAATGATAAACAATTTCGAACAAGTTTTCTCGTTTTAAGGAGGGAATTGTTCCTTATGAGGTATACATTATAACTATATACCTCATAAGGAACAATTCCCTCTTGATAGCTGGGAAACTTTCTCTGAATAACTTATCATTTGAACAGAAAAGTGACACTTTACATGGCAAAAAATAGAGCCTTACTTTTGAGATACTTGAGATTGAAACTGAATCTTATGAGGCGGTGATCTTGAATCAGTACCTCATAAGGTTCAGTTTCATATAAAATTTGTTGCAATTTGTTATTCTTTTGCAATTATTTCTTATAAGATTTTACATCTTTTAGCGGGGAATGTTTGTTATCATGTATATATTATAAATATCTACACGATAACGAACATTCCCCGCTAAATTGCTGAGAAACGTTGAGGAAATGTCGAACAATTTCCTCAAAGTTTCTCAGATTTATATAGATCACTAGAGTCCCCTAGGCACTGATTCTGGTTCAGTACCTAAGAGGCTCTAGTTCTCTAACGAACTGATAAAATGTTTTTAAATTTTTGGATATTGCTACCTGTGAAGCACTGACTTCAAGTCAGTACCTCACAGGTAGCAATTACATTGAAAGATGGGAGAAACTTTGTCCGAATGTTAAACTATTCGGACAAAGTTTCTCCCATTTGTAGTGGAGATGGAAGGCTTTGAGGTATATTGTATTAATATATACCCCAAAGCCTTCCATCTCCACTTGAAAGTGTCCAAACTTTGGGTTAATACTTTGCAATTAACCCAAAGTTTGGACACTTTCTAGAAGGAATTGGAGGGTAAGAGATATACATTCATATGGTATATCTCTTACCCTCCAATTCCTTCTTAAAATGGGAGAAACTTTGTCCGAATGTTAAACTATTCGGACAAAGTTTCTCCCATTTTTTGAAGGAATTGGAGGCTATGAGATACTGATGCAATGTCAGTAACTCATGGCTTCCAATTCCTTCCTAAAACTCATAAAAGTGGACATTACATGCATATAAAATTTGACATGTAAAGTCCACTTTTTGTGAGCGGGGATTTGACTCCGTCAAATCCCCTTTTTCGTTTACGAGAAAGCCAAATTCTCTCAAAAAGTTAAGTAGGACCAATTTTTTATAAAAAAAAATCCAATTTCATTATGAATGTTAATTAATTTATATAATTATTGAATAAAAAATTTTCTTTGAGATTATGAAAAGTTCTTTGAAAAGTTATTTTTTCTCATTTTTAAATATTGTATTAGCCTATTTATTTATAATCCAAATTAAATAACTTTAAATTCAATATTTAAAGAATAATTTTGAAGGAATTGAGTTACTTCCCCCGACGATAAAATTGAGAGGTTTACATTTTGACCGAACTTAGCATGCAACATTACATCGTTTTTACTCATAAAAAACAACTAATTTTTGATTTTGATATCATATTTGATAAATACTCATTCCAGAGTTGACGTAATGTATTAATTATTGTTAGAGATATTGGTTTCGCAGCAAAATTCTTATTTCATGAAAGAAAAAAAAATGATTTTATTCCAACAAAAACAAGTAAACAGATGAATGGAAACGTACTATATTTTCATAAATGTAGTAATCAGCGTGTCAGCTTTTGTTTATCATGTTCGAGTCAAAATGTATTAACTTGTAATAAGAAATATTCGAAGATTATATGAAGTATTGAGCATTCTTTGTAGAAATATTTATAATTCATTACTAACATATATAATAAAGTTGTTTTTTTTTCCTTATTGCAATAATTTTGTCTGATTTTAATAACTTTTCATGTATACGAGTTGTGTGAATATGCATCATAATATGCGTAAATATACTTATTTGCGACGAATAATGTGGTTGCATAATGGAGGTGCTAAATTTTGATTTTTAATATGGGGCTTTGGTATGTATAATCATGTTCTTATCTCAACGTAGGAGTATTGGTGCAATATGATTAAAATTTACGAGGTTGATCTGAAATTGAATAATTCTGGAGTATAAATCACAATGCAGCTAATTCTATGTTAAAGATAGATACAGATTGTAGTAATCAATTAGGGAGTACAAATTCATTCTTTCATTTCTGTCGTATTGAGCAGAAAGGAAGAGATCATAACCCTAGGAAAAAAAGCCCAAATTTATCACTTTTCATAGTACGTTAAACCCAATTCGCTCGGCGAATGCCGAGCACACGTACTCATCATTCAACATAATATTCTCATTCTTTGGTTATTATAGTGCCAGACAACACAAGATTTCAAAGAATTACTTGAGTTTTCAATTAATCTTAATCCGATTTTAGTTTTATCGAGAACTCCATCATCAAAATCACATACTTCAGTGCGGTAACTACAATTATCCATATACAGAAGGAAGTTCTTTTCGAACAACTCATTTGGAGTCTGTTTTGGAAAGAACTTCTTTCTGTCCGACTTAATTTCATAGTTCCTGATCAACCAAAAGACAGAAACCACACACTATCTACTTAGGAAAGGAGTTCTTTCTAAATCTTCCTTAAATTGAGATTTTACGAGAGATAACCCTTCTATTGCACTTAAAAATGAACATTTTGATATCTTTAGTATCACACATGGTCATATATAGTATTTCATCTA